TTGGAACTGGGTGATCTTTGAGGTCCCTCCCAACCAAAACATTCTGTGATTCTATGATGCTTTAAATAAAAGCTGTTCAGTGCATACGTTATGGGCCATTTGCATTAAAGGCAGTCCCTCCTGCAGGTAACATAACCAAATCAGCTTGGGTATAAATACCCTTGGCCCAGTTTTCGGAAGAGTTGAATAGCCCCAGTTCCCCTGAAATCAGTGAGGACACAGCGTTTCTCACTGATGCTCACATAACAAAACACTAACTTCTACTAACAAACTCAGTATACTGATAAATTAAGTGTTCTGAAGTTGGAGGTGGGAAAGGGTGGGAGGACCTAAGTTTGCACACCGTTATTTCTTCAATTAACACACACACAAGTTAGTAACTGTAGATGTGCTTTAAATTTGGAGCTATTTGCTTTTAATTCTGGGAGGAATCTTCCTTTGAGAAGGCAAAACCATTCTAAATGATATGGAAACTATACCACATTCTTATGGAAACGAAAAACTTAACGAGTTTGAATTTCTTAATGCCAGGAACAGGGCTTCTGAAGCTGAAGCTTTAACAATGAACTTCTGTGCCACAAAGGGGAGAAGGAGTGGGGACAGAAACACAGTGACACTGCATTACAGTAGATATTTGTGTCTGGTATCCTCATCCAAAGTGAGGTCTACTACTTCTGTGGGCGAAGACCAATTCTGCTGGGGAGTCACAGTTGTCCATGATTGTGTTTGCTGAGCGTTAATGTACTGTGAGCCTGAGCCATCCTTCCAGGAAGACACGCTCTGAATCACACCTCCCCTGGGATGCACACACCTGTAGCAAGGCAGAAAACACAAAGGGTTAAAGCTACCATTGAATTCGGGCACGAGACTCTCAGCTGCAGCGGTTTATCACTTAGGCATCTTGTTAACACGTCCCTCTCCAAAATGTCCTTGTGGCTTTTCCATTTGTAGAGTCCGCAACACCTTAAATACCCAGTAACAAAGCTGAGACTAAACTTTAACACTTAAACTTTGGGGGGGGTGGTGGGGATTAAATTATTTTTAAGAACTGAATTCTGCCAGCGGGTGTAAAGTGATATTCCTTACAAAACACATGCATGGATCGCAAGGATCTTGAGGAAGTCTGCCCCATTATGTGCAGTACCATGCATTACTCAGAAGCACAGTTTCCTGCTGGCAGTTTTACCCCACTGGACTTTTTTAAAAAGAGAAAAATTTTAAGTGAGGCATGATGAGACAAAGAGAGAAGCTATCTTTCTATGTGAAATCAAAACCATGTTAAAATAAGGACACGATACTTTCATTACAATAATTACAAGAGACATCTCGTAATTACATTATTACACCCCTTACACTTCATTTTTCTTTGGTCGCCTTAACTGAAAATTACCAACATGCTGGGAAACGCTCACAGGTAACAGTACAGCCTCACTTCAGCAAAACATTTAAGCTTTCAGTGATTATAGTCAGTGAGACTAAATCATGCATTTAAAGACAGGCATACGCTCAACAGCCTTGCTGAAGTGAGGTACACATCTACTTACTTGCACGGAATTTTTACCTATTATATTCACAACAGATATGTGACAAATGAAGTACAAGCTAACAATAATTAGGAAAAAAAAGTGAAAGAATAATTTTGTTACATGATGAAGTGATGACAAGAATTTCCTGGAGTCTTTAAGATGATCATTCCCTTTCCAGCTGTAAACCTTAACCAAGTGCTAGTAAAACTTTATGCCTAGCGCTCCAAAAGCTGGTTTGCTCCCGTAAGCACTGGTGGTGGCTGTGGCTGCTCCCGGCTGCGTACATCAGTAGGAGGTGTTTGGCTGCTGGGGGTAACCTTTGTGAAGGCACGGGTACGGTATTTCAGGAACCCAGGTTTTCTGCACTGGTCAAATATCCCTGACATTTACATTTTATTTGTTTTAATTTAAGCTAGTGCAATTTATTTTCTCCAGAACTATTTAGGTTGCGCTCATCTCTCTTGGCACTGGCTAGAGTTTCATAAAATAGAATGAAAAAAAATCTCATTCTCTGAGCTCTAACTTCTCTGAATATAAATGGCTCATTTCCTCCTCAGATACGCTATTTAGTTTTGGATGTGATGTTCAGAATGACTTTTTTATTACTTCTTCAGTCTTAAAAATACATGCTTAAAGTACGTGTCTACCAAGAATTAGTCATAAGAGACTGGAACTCTTAACAAATGTAGGGGATTCTTTTTAACAAGCTTTCTCTCAAGAAGAAATCTTTTTAAGCATAACTGACCCAAAAAGCTTGTAGCCAAAGCAAACCAAACATGATGTTCAGTCTCAGGAACCACGGTCCATCGTTCTGATACAGAACAGTCCCCACTGCTTAGGCAAAGCTAATACTAACTTTTCTTCCTGACCACGACAAAAAGCAAGCTGTAAGTTACCTCATAGAAATGATACCTCGCAAAAGTAAGACTGTTTATCCTCAAACAAGTCACAGGAGCAGCCAATAGCAAAACATTCAATCAAACATTAGCTGAGGGAACATGCTTTCCAATCTGTAGCTAAGGGAAGATACCGAGTAAAGGCAACCAAAAAAAGGAGGGAGAGGAGGGGAAACCACCTAGGAAAGAACAGAGGAAGACTTTTATACACATGCATGATAAATAAAGTAAAATCTTTTGGAGAAAAATTAAACAAACTGAAAACATGACTTGGTGTCCTAAGCAGATGCCAAGTAATATTCCAATGACGAGAAACACACCAATTCACCAGCAATCTGAAAAACTACAAATGACGGACAAACTCACACCAGTCCAATGACGACATGGAATATGGAGCATGATAAAAAAAAAGAAGTGTGAGCAAGAGAACTGAACCCAAACACCATACTAACTAAGCATGCAAAAAATAATGATCAAAAATACTGATCGGAAACCTAAACCTTTTCCAAACGACAACCCTGTCAGAAGCCCATCAATACTTCATAACTGCAAGCCTAGACCTGCAAGAGAAATAAAATTCTAAATAGGATTCAAACAACCGAAATGTGTGAATATTCATTGCAGCCAGTAAGAACCAGTCTTTGGCAAACGGTAGATGGCTACGTGACCAAAGGAAAGCGCAAAAGTGTGCTTTATGTCTGCCTTTGCTGAACTTATTTTGGTCCGTATCTGCTAAAACTGATTTCAAACAGCAACTCTGCATTTACTTAACGTTTCCATTCTTGTACCCCGTAAATATTATCAAGGCAAGCCGTACGGAAAGCTTCTGACAGGGGACCTCGAGCAGAAGGGTCCTGTGTGCATACTGCTAGACAGATTTACACGAACTACTACAGGACAGATCCAAGCTGCTTATCATCAGAACAAAGATCCCCCGAGTCCTGGGCCTGCTGCTGTATCAACAGCCAGGGGACCTACTTCCTAAGGAATCAGCACCTTCCAAAAGAGTCAGCCATGCAAGGACTTTCACTGTTCTAAAAGGGAAGACCAAACCTCTCTTCCTTCAGCACCTTAAAATTCCCTTTTTTCACCTCTGACGCACTGGACGGAGCCCGCACTCTCTGTACAGTTCCTGCCCGGGAAATCGGGTCCTGCGCACCGTCCTTCTCCCTTTCCTCAAGAAACATGTGGTGAAGGGGCAAGGATGAGGAGCTCTGTTCCTTCTCCCTCACACCCCAAGCATCCCCCAGGCAGCAGACTAGTTTTAGAAAGAGCTTGTCTGTATACTGTTTTAACTTGCTTTTATTCCACCAAACTAGCACTCCGTACTATATGAAAATGTCAGTCTTGTTCAACTGCTTCGCAGTACATTAAGCCAAGGAAAGATCATAGACTAAAGATGAAGAGTAACATCAAAAACTGCCTATCAAGAATAACAGCTGAAGCACAGCTGGACAGCTTTCTATCTGAGCTTGAGAGAAACCTCTGGCTTCCTTACCCTCATCTACTTCGGGGCTTTGAACTCTCTTGTATCTTGAAACAAATCCAAGATTCCCAAGGATTCGATTTTGAATCTAAAGGGGCTATCTCATGACATTAGCTATTGAAAAGTTGATGGTATTCTTACAACTACTGATTTAGTAAATAAACTAGAAGCTGGTTAAATGCTTAAAGTGAGTATTTTGAAAGGAAACAAGAACCCACATAAATACTTTTGTTTGCGTGTTCGCATAGTCACACTATGCCCTTAAAACCTGAATTCCTGATGTATATACATTTGGTATCTCAATATTTAGTATTTTAGTACTATGTACGTTTTGCCTTCAGTGTCTGATACTGAATCACAAGCTTAACCTGAATACTTATCCAGTTGGTAACATTCTAAAGAAAAACACATTCTGACATCATGGTGACCAGCAGAACAGGAAAGAACAAGTGCAACGTTCGCTACCCTTTGGGCATCAGTCATGGATGGGTAACTCCAGAAGTGGAAGTCAATGGTTTTTTCTTTATCAATTTTGGCAATACAGATACTCTGATAAAACGAAAGAAATATTAGGGCAAGAAAAAGGAATTCATACCTGGCATGTTCCTGGACTCCAACAATCTCTACTTCGCTATCAGAAGAGGCAATATTAATTTCTTCGTTGATCTGGGCATTACCAGAAGAGGTTTTGTCACTTGCAAGGAAGCCTGGATCCAAATTACCTACAGATGGGCAAAATGCAAATACAGCCAATATTTAACAGCTTACACTACTCAGAAATCATCTGCAGGAGGAAATTCCCAAGAAATTCAGGAAATTTCAAGACTGAAACACCGAGATTGCAAAATCTTATTACATCAGGCTGCCCAACTTTCAGTTCATCCACCTGATACAGGATGACCACTGGATTTGTCCAGTCTCAGTAGCTCTAGTGATGGTGTTCTCACACAGGTGTGAACAAAGCCTGGCTACTGCCTCAAGAACACCTGATGTCATGAGGCTTTCCAGCTGTTACTTTACAACAGTGCTCAGAGCTAGACTGTGCCTAAACCTCCTTGAAATAAAGCAGCAAGACAATCTATTGTCAAGTTAACCAAACTCAATGATACTGTGGCAAACAAAGCCTATAGGCTGGACAGAAACATCACACACACCAAGGAAAATTAATTTACTTTCTTTTTCTTTTTTTTTTTCTTTTTTTTTTTTTAAATAAAATAGGGGAAGGCAGTCAATGAAAAACAACCCCAACAAACCCATCAGTTTCTGGTCACACTGCTTCACGCACCTGCTCTAACATTATTACAAATACTTGAAAAAAAAAGAAAAAAAAAGAATCTGTTATTCATAAGTTCCATATACAGCGGTGTTGTTTTTCCATTACAACTCCTCAATGCTATCCAGTTCATCGGCCTGCCACACAGGTCCTCTCTGAGTATCACAGCAAGTGTGGCAGGTTTTGCCTTTTCTGCAAAGAAGCTTCACAATTAGTGAAGCTTCACAATTAGTGCTATGCCACGACACAGCTTCAAGTAAGATTTGCACGGGAAAAAAAGGCCAAAACGATGATTTGTTTTCTAGAAAATAAATCATTAAAATAGGCAATTAAAAAATGAGATTTTAATTTAAAAGGATAACTTCTACTCCCCCACCCCCCCCCACCTCAAAGACTACTTCTACTGTCTCTCTTTAGCAGTACCTGGGGGACGCTGGGCAGCCAGCTACATTACCTACTTCTTGGAAACTACTCACTCAGCTGTATTATACAGGGGAAGAACCGTTTGTCGAGCAGGAAATTTGAGATCAGATGAATATATTATGTGTATCTACTTTGACTGGACACCTCTTCAAAGGTGAGAGGAGGAGGATGCAATAATGATCCACAGAATTTCAAAGGTGTGAGAACACGCAGAACTGATTATACCCCCAGGTAGATCAAGCGGACACAGAGAGAAGAAATTAAACTTCAAACAAGTGCCAGGGAAACCTTCTAGTGACTGCTTCAAGTACCTGGAAAAGATGCAAGCAAATAGAAGGGCATAGCCCATACTGTTAACGTTCATTTTTCGGAAAGTGAAGCCCCTTGGTGGAACATCTGATCAGGGTTAGCAAGGGAAGGAAACCTGCGTGCTGCCACATACCCGAAGGAGGAGTTCCCACCTCAGAAGACAAAAATGATTTGTCAGCTGAACTTAAAACAAATTAACAGCCCATGCAGACTTTTCCTAACATTACAGTTCAGCTGAACATTTCTTGGCAAATATCACCGTCTGCCAGAAAGCCCCAAAATGGGTCAGGGATATTTCTTGAACAGAAGCAGCTGGGCACACCGCAAAACACGAACCAGAAGCGCTCAGGGGCTTTGATTCATGTGCTGGCGGGAGCTTGACGTGATGACGGCCGCAGTGATTCGCATCACCCCCCCCCTCCCGGACGTCGCTGCTGCTACAGCGCAGGCAGCAGGACAGCAGCACAACCCTTGGCCACCGATTCATGCAAACGGGTAGGGATATTGACCTGCCTTAACATGATGTATTAACGAGGTACCGCCATTCTGCACCCTTTGCTAGACAGGGTAAAGTCTGGCAGAGAGGCAAAGCAGACCAGCTCTTAAACAGCCCCAGAATGAATCCCCAGATGTACAAATGAGAGCCCCGAAAGAGCAGTGTATTTCCACAGCTTTAACAAAAAGGTAATTAGGAGTAGAGAAACCATGATGAGCAGAGTAAATATTGCAACAGTAGCTGAGTGTAAATCAGGATTATAGCATACAGATGGATTTACAGCCTCTGGCCATATAAATCTCATGCTCAGTAACGTGCCTATGCTGTTAACGCCTTTGCACGAGCATTAGGATGACGCCCAAAGGAGACGTTTTTTTGCCCTACAACGTCAGGGCTTGCAAAACAGCCCAAAATATTCGCCCATGCACAAAGATGTGATAGTGTGTCCTAATAAGATTTTTCACTTAGATAAAGCTTATGTTATTATTTTCCCGTGGGAACACACCATTTAATGTCTGTTAAAGGAGATACTGGCTGAAGATTAATTTGGGAAGAAGATGTAAGATTTGAAAATTCTGCTTTCCAAATACACAATCCTAGATGTGGTGAGAAAAGGCCAGTACTGACAAACGTGCAGTCAGAAGTGTACCGAGGCTACAGGGCTCTGGGGCAAGGTGTACGCAGGAAGAAAAAGAGATTCATCCTTTCAGACGTTGACATGGCCGTAAGACCAGGGACAAATTTGTCTGGACACGTTCCCAGAGGGTCAGGGATGAAGAAGTTTCTTGACGTTTTCTTTTACCTGGCAACCTTTTCCTTGCAAGTCCCCTCGGATATAGATGGAGGGAGGAAGACAAGCATCTACCTGCATCGCAGCATTGTACTTGTAAGTGGAAGAAAGCTTGGTAAGAAACATTACTTTTTATTTCCTTATACTCCTTTGAAGTACCAATCCGTTAGTGCTATATAATAAACCTAATTTCAGCTGTTCTAATTATTTAATAGATCACTTAATAAAGCAGTGGGCTTGTTAGGGGGTCAAATAGCTAACTGTCAGTCAGGTGCTATCCTGCAAACAGTTTCAGCGAGCTTGGAAAACACCAGCTAGCTTCAAAAAGGCTGGAACAACATCCAGCCACAGACCACAGCGAAAATAACGCAAGAGGTTATATATATATATATATATATATGGACATTATCCAGATAATTACGGAACACCTCTTTCAAATCAGCCATGTGTATTTCTTTAAGCCTTACAGGCATTGAAAAGCAGCTCAGAGCTACCAGGACACTTCTAACGTAGGTGCCCTTTGGCAGGCTTATGTTTGGAAAACAGCATGAAACAAAAACTGCTGCGCTCCACCGCTGCAGGCAAGACTCCATCTCTTATGCAGCTAAAAATCTTAAGGTATATTAAAAAAAGATGAATGGAAAGGAAGGCATTAAGTCGGCATACAAGGCTATGGGATGAAGTCGATGGGAAATATTCCCCATCCCCTTAGCTCTCTGCATCCAAAAACACAGCAGCATTTCACGTTGTTGTCCAACTCTTTTGTTTGTGAAGAGCTGCAAGCACTCAGTGAAGCTGAACAACTTTTATGAGCGACACAAACTTCTCTGAATTCTCCCACAGTATTCCTGCTCTTGCTTTCTTGAAGGAAATGTCTTCGCTGCCTCTTGATGCTAAGCCCGCTCACCAGTACCTTTTCACCCTTTATCTCATGCTGGTCTGTCCCAATTTTGGTTGGTACGTTAGAAATGCAGGTGGAATACGGGAATAATTAATGCTGGTATTTTAAAGAAATAGAGACAAATGACATATACAGACAATTACAATACTTAAAACGATTGGTTTACTAGCTGGTGGCGTGGGTTGTCATAATCAACCATTCAGTAACAAGCTTAGCTCACTTTCATTTTAAAAAAAAAACCCATCACCAAAGCCTATCACCAAAACCCCAGACCTGAGTTCCAAGAAGTAATTAGAAGAAAAATAAGGAGAAAAAAAAAATTAAGAAAATTAGTGTAAAAAAAAGCACATTGCAGGAACCTTTGTCAATTTTTATCAGTTGTGTTTTGGAATAAATGTCAGACATTTTTAACAAGCATCTATACTGATTTACTGTAAAATCCACACAAGGAGCTTTTAAAGCTGTATGGACTACAAAAATACTGAGAGCAAGAAAGGGAGGGACACTGACTGAGATGCTGGAACAAACGTCAGAGGAGGGGAATTTAAACAAACCTGCATCAGCACTCAGCTCATCTGGCAGCCCTCTGGTTCTCCAGGAAGATCCCGAGTCCTGGTTTCCTAAAGAATTATTATGCTCTTGAACTACTGCAGCCGCCAACAGATTGTCCACATTTACCACTTCTGGGTCTGAGTTTGTGTCTGATATATCATAATGAGCTACAACTGGAGGTCCATCTGCAGAAGGAGAGAAAAGCAGTGCGGGTTAGAAGTCAGCATACTGTGAAAGACTCCTTTAAAAATACAAATAATTTAGGGATTGATGAGACACCCTACATGAAGCTCTTAAAGAACTATAAATTATATGAATTATTAAACTTCAGCTAATGAACATAGTCTGAGATTAGAGACGTTTTAACCTCTGCATACACAGAAAACACAAATGTAAGAAAAACACATTTATCAATGTATCAGTTATTTGTGTATTGTGTCGGTTATTTGTGTATTATCTTTGACATTAACACAGAAACACCTCCATATCTGACAACGTTACATTTACAATCTTAAAAGGACAGAGCCTTCAGTTTAAAATAAAAAAAATAGTAAGATACAAGACATTAAATTTGGCAAGACAAGATATTTATCTAGAGAATTTTACAAAACTCAAGTGACAGCTTACATTACTTTAGGGCTGATTGAATAAAGCTAACTTTTTGATATAACTGATCCAGTGACAACATATTTAACATTAAGCAACTTTCCTTTCGTAACATTTACCTGTCAGGTAAATTACAGGGAAATTTTTCAAAACGGCAATGTTTTCTGGTGTTGTTTTTTTAAGATCAAGAATAACAAGGAACAAAACTATAATGTGCAGTGATAAATATATTTTTAATTCAATATGATTACCATAGGCATTTTTGGCCATCAAAGCGAAGGCGGAAGGAGGGAGAGAAAATTGCTTACATAATTCTGAAATCTGTTCTTGAGGAAGAACAAAAAGCTATTTTTGGTCTGTTTTGTTAGGACGGACTATTTTCTTTGTGAGCAACGAAAATCACATAATTGGAAAGCATGCTAGAAACAGGAGTGGGTCAGAAAAAAGTCGAATTCAAGACAAGGATTAACGTGGAAGCAAAGAGAGAACGGATAAATACGGTAATTTTGAAAGGATGCCCATTTTAACTCAAATGCCTCACCTCAGCTACAGCTTATTAACTCAGAGCAGATGAAAGCGGTTGGAGTTCCCACTCCCCAAAAGAGAGAATCAAAACTTTCTTTGGGCCCAGACTTCATCCACAAAAACAAGTATGAAATGGCAAAACAGGCTGGGCCAAAGCTCAGTTGCTTTGCTGCTGCAATCCTTCACCTCCAAGGAGGTTCTGGCAGTTGAGTGTCTACAGGACTTCTTTGTAGTTGTGTGATGGATAGAGGGTATAATTTGTAAGGGATAATATAAAATAATCATAAACTAATAACGTGTTTAGGAAGATAGGACCTTCAGAATTACAAAATGACCAAAGAAATCTTTAAAAGCCACAAAGAATAAAATGAAAAGACTTTTCAGGAAAGATTGGTTTCTTTTAGGAGTGTGAAGTGCCTGCTGAAGACAGAAAGAACACGATGAACTAGAAGTTTCAAATTTAGTTCTCTGAAAAGATGTTTCTACTGAGGTTTTTAGGGTAGGGTTTTTTGCTTTTGGTTTGGGTTGGGTTTTTTTGCTTTGGATTTTTTCTGTTAGGTTTGGTTGGTTTTTTTTTGGTAACTTGGCCCCTGAAACATAATTCAGCTCACTATTTTAAGAAACACCTATTTTGTGATTAGCAACACACTTCATTAAAGAGTGACCATATTGCTTAAGTCGTACTAAAGATCAGTTTTGCAACAAGGTATGAAGAAATTCACAAAATATTTCCAATCAGACCTGCCTCCAAAACAACACTTTCATAGAACAATGTTATCTTACAAACTTAAAACAGACCCGACAAAAACAAATGGGTAGTTAAATGCCAATGTACTGAAGACCAAACTGTTCACAACATGAAACGCTGATGATTATGACTGGAAAAGAAGTCCTGATAATTAACTGAAAGGCAATCTCTTTCTTTTCAAAAGGCAGTTACAAAATAATGGAATATCAAGTTCAAAATTAAGCTGGCTGATGTTCAGTTAATTATTTGTGAAAGCTGATGATTAAATTACATGCAGAAGTTATGACTGGAACTGAATCACGAGAGGCATGTTTTCTTACAGTCTTATCATCAGAGTTCTGTGTGAACATATATAATGTGATCCATTAAAATAAACAGTCGAGTGCAGAAGATACGAGGGTCAAGTACAATATTGACTATTTGACCATTTTTTCAGTAGGTTCTCTAAAATTTCAGGAGCTATGTACTGTTCCTTCAGGTGTTTGTTTCTCTTGCTTCTTACAAAAGTGGAAGCAAAAGTTTATTTTAGATAGATGTGTCTACCCAAGTAAAACTATATTTGGACAAAAGGCACCAATAGTCTCAAGTCAAAATTGTACCACTCCTACATGTATAATCATGCAAAGATGTATAATAAATGTATATACATGCAGAGTGATATTCTCATCACCTACCCATAGAAATAACTTGTGTGAAAGTCTTCATCAGTAGGAAATACAAGCATAAACTTGTTATCTGTAGCTCCACTCTTGTATCTTCCACACTTCCAAACAGCACACCTTATAACTTAGCTTAAATTTAGTATACATCAAACAGACAAAAATATTTTCAATGTAATTTACATACTGTAATTATATTTGTCAGTGTAACAGCCACCGATTTAACAATCTGGAAAAAACAAGCTGCCTATTTACAAAGCAATCACAGTAGAGATGTCTTTTTCCTTTCTCAGCCTTGCCTTTCAGGATCAGATTTGGAAATAAAAGGCCCCTGGCACCAGGGTTATCCACACCTATCACCAGTAAATGACCAACAAGGCCAAGATAATGGCCGCGACACTGCAACAAATCCCAGCATGGGTAAAATAAGAAGCAAGCAATAAATGCCTACGTGCATTTAAAAAACAAAACCAAAAACAAACGGTACGTTGTAGGCAATGACCACTAGATGAAAGTTGCAACAAAGATATATTTAAAAAGTCCTCTGCTCCCCAAAACCGGTTTCCTTTTCAGTGCTACAAGGATGGAGAGGAGGGGTTAAATTTGGAAATAAATAATACTTCCCTAGCCAACTACGTGATCATCCGATGATGTGATGCAAAGCGAATGCATGGTACTAAGAAATAAGGACAACTGGCTTCAGCTAAGTAGTAAGTGAAAAAAATGCTTTCAGATCGAGAAGGTAAAAGGATTAACTACAACCATAGCTGTAACTTATAATCTTTTCAATAGAGCCACTCCCCATAATTACTGACTGTAACAGGATTTCAAGAGACAGAAAAACAGACACCAAACCAAACCATGCCAGAACCAAAATTTAATGTAGCACAATTAGGAGGTTCCATGGTCACTAATTTAAACAATCTATTTAAGAAAAATCATGTATTTTGAAAAGCCAAGGTAGCTGGAAGACTTAAATTTCCCTGGTGATAAGCTTTAATTCATTTCTAATGCAATAAATGCTTGAAAAAGACAAGGCTGAAAGTTAATAAGTACCAGCAGCAAAATACAGCTGTTGACATTTAACATTAACAGGGGGAGGGAAAGACTGCGTTTTTATTTATTTTTTTAAAAAGAATTCAGAGGCAAAGGTCGTCACTGGGACGGCATTTCCAAGTGTCCAATTCTTCCTTAATTTACACAGCTCATCAAAACTAATTCCGCTCAGAACAACTGAATCAGAAGCCACATGCATAAAAACTCAGGTCTACACATGTGAATTTTAAGCTTGCAACATAGAAAATTCAACAATTTCTCATCTGCTAGCCTCTGCTTTTCAGAGAGCCACATCTCAACATTCAGCAGTCAGCATTCAGCTGTGTTGTAAGACCCACACTCCCATTACCCCTTAATTCATTACAATGGCAGCACAAGCAAAAAGGGGGAATCAACCATAAAATTTCAGCTGTAGGTTAAAAGCAGCCATTCTGTAAGACGCACCGTACCTTTGCACTGCAGCAGCTGTGTACCAAAGCACAGCAGTACTTTATCACAGGAAACAAAAGGTATTGGCTAGCAGAACCTGAATTGGGGGAATTTAGTCCTTTAAGTCATTATTTCTCTTCAGCTTTCTTAAGTTTAGGCATGCAGTGCCAAGCTCATCACCCGAACTCCCTCCCACCGTAACCAGAGAGGAACTTCAGGGTCAAGTAATCTCAGCCTGGAAATCACAGCCTGGAGCATCTTCATCTCCCCTCCTTCCCCAGTAAACAGAAAGAGCTTAGACAACCACCGTAGACAAGGCACCTAACTTTTACACTGCTGAGGTTCAGCAAGATGAATTCCAGACTTAGGGATGGGAGTTAAACTTTGCTATATTTTCTCTACAAGCAGTGGAAAAAGACTGAAATCTCCAGAGGACTATCCTGATTGAAATAATTTCAAAATTAAAAGCCTAATTTTGGTGGTCTGAATCGCCCTCTGGAGCCATCGGTGCCTTTGCAATGAGGAGACGTGGAGCCTTATTTAGGTGTGAGTATCACCCTAAGCTTTAAAACACACAGAACAGGTACAATAATAATAGCAATAATAATTACAGCACTTTATTCTTACAAAAAGCTTTCCATTAGTGGATCTCAAAGAGCTCCCAGGTGGTTATTAACCTCCTTTTGCCTATGGGGGAAACTGAGGCAAGCAGAGATTTGCAGCTTGCTCAAGGCTAACAAGGAGAGGAGCTCAGCGCTGCTGAAAACAATACTCCCCTCAAATTACTGAGCTATTTTTAACTGGTAAATTATCGAGGAGTTTAAAAAAGCATTGAGGAATACTTTTGTGAAACATGCAAAAGCTAAAAAGGCAACACACAGAGGCACCTAAAGGTAATCGCAAGCCCAAGGAGGCACGGCTTCTTCCAGCCTCACCTCCGCATCTCTTAATCTCAGTATTATCAACTAAATTGCATTTATTTTTATAGAACAAAAGAGAATACTGAGACATTTAAAAACAATAAAAATTTAAGAACGCCTTCATGTATTAAATTTAAGTGTCAAGTGTAAGTAACTCCATTTACTTCAAGATTAAGCAAAACACAGAACAGACTTTAATACCTACGTAAATTTAAAGATCAGATGATCATTACAGTAATTGA